ATAATTGATGGTAAATACTCATTATTAATTAATTACTCATAATTTAATAATTAATTACTAATTATTATCAAATATCTTACAAAAATAAAAGTCAACACGATGCGCGCGCAACAAAGTCCGAGCCACTCGGACTTGGACTTGCACTTGCCTCTCGGACCTATTGTAGAAGCTCCATTATTGTCGGTGTATGGAAGCTTCGAATTAGTGCGAGTTGCACTCGCACTTGTCCGATTTTTTTTTCTATTTAAGACTGAAAATAATTAATAATAAAAATAGTAATTTTATGTTAATGTTAAAAATTACAAATATATTGAACCCCTTGACAGTCGATGGCCCATATGAGAGATTCTTTCTCAATCGCCCCAGCCCAAAATATTAGTCCCAATGTTCTGTTATTGGCTTCATACTTTGGTAAATTGTTGTCCTATATGATAGTAATAAATCCCTATATTCCAAAAATATTCACAGTTTTCCTAAAAGTATCAAATTGAGACCAAAAATTGCATCAAATCTTTGCAACGTTTTAATGCACATAAGTTATATCAAAAAGAGATCGTTTTGTGTATCATTTTTAGAAATGATACACGAAACGGTCTCATTTTTTGAAGCAAAAAATTTAATCAATTTATATCAATCATGGCCGAATTGAATCGACTCAAAATTAAACGAATTTTTTTCAGATATTTTGGTAATAGTACAATTGCGGAGACCATTTCACTATTTAATTTGAAAATGAAAATAACAGAAAATCAAAGACAATGTGCAATTCGATAATTAAAAAGTGACAGCTTATAAACATAACCTAAAATGCATGAGAAAAAATTTGTCGATAAAATCAATATAGCCGAGCTTTTTAGAAGGTAGATGGCAGCACTCATCTATTTTCTTTCTTTAAATTTTTTCTGAATCGTTTTTATAAAAAGCAAAACTGCCATCTACCTTCTAAAAAGCTCGGCTATATTGATTTTATCGACAAATTTTGTCTCATGCATTTTAGGTTATGTTTATAAGCTGTCACTTTTTAATTATCGAATTGCACATTGTCTTTGATTTTCTGTTATTTTCATTTTCAAATTAAATAGTGAAATGGTCTCCGCAATTGTACTATTACCAAAACGATCTCTTTTTGATATAACTTATGTGCATCAAAACGTTGCAATAGAAAAAGATACAACCAAGTTTACTGTGTATTGGACCCAATCCCAGACATTGGGACTAATATTTTGGGCACTTATGCAACATGTCTGAACGCAGAATTTCATAGGGATTACGAATTTGATACTGAAAATTAGTGGTCTCATTTAAGAAAACCACTTTTTTCATTGTATGGCCCAACATTGAGCCTCGGGCCCAATTTTTTGGTTTCAAAGATGTAGATCTTTTTGTTAGGAACAACTTTTGTCTTGAACATTTTTTACGAAAATTCGTACTTTTCGAGATATTTGCAAGTTTCCATACTATATAATGGACGTGAAAACTAAGATGCGCGCGTCCCGTCGCGCCACACGGGACGTTTTAATTTTTTTTTCGCAAAGTTCTTGCTGTCCCATTATGAAAATTAGAGAAGTTATTCTTAACATCATAGGCAATAAGTAGAAAAAAAATTTTTGAAATCAAAAAGGTAGTTTTTTCAAAAAATGAATTCAAAATTTTTTTTTTTTTGCATTTTTTCCGGGCAAAAAATTTTTTTTTTTTCATGAACTATTTTTCTCTTAAAATAGCATTTTTTTTTTGTAAGAAATTTGAAAAAAAAAATTCATCTTATTTGGATAACAAGAAAAAAAAATAACATTTTTTTTTTAAAATGACATAAATTTTTAATTAGAGATATCGCAAACAATTTTGAAAATTTTGAAAAATTGTTTGTGTGCTTTCATTCTGTACAAATAAAGGAACATAATCACAAAAGATTTCAATAAAATTGCTCCAATCATCAAAAATTCTTGTACGATCACATCCCATGGTATTGCTCACTTTTGAAAAAAACTTAAATTTAAAAATTATTACCCGAAATTTTATAAACCTACAAAAAATTATGTATACTTTTTTTCTCAGAACTTTGGTTTTATAATAAATATATTTTTATATTTATTTTTTTTGATTTTTTAAAATAATAATTTGCAATATATATTTTAAGAAGGAATGAAAATTCTTTGTGTTTTCGATTTTATATAATAAAATATTAATTAGTTAGTTGACTAATTTAATTAATATTTAATTTGTGTTGGGTTACTAAAAATTTTAGACATTTTTTCTTTAAAAAAAGTATTGGAGCAGAGATTTCACTATTGCAGTGAAACTTATCTCAGTTACAGTTAAAGCTTTTTCTTTTCGTATACAAGAAATTACAAAACTGCCAGTACTCGGCCAGTGCTGAACCAGCAGTGGTTATCAGTACTGGTGCCAACTCTGGTAGCCAATACTGGTAAAATGTTATCATCCCAAAGTTACGCCAACTCTGGCGCTATAACTGGGTGCCAGTACTGCGCCAGTAGTAAATTTTTGATTGGGATATTTCATTAAAAATTAGTTGAAAAGTATTGTTCAAAACAAAACAAACTCAAATTTAATTAAAAATTAAAATTTATTCAATATTTCACTTTTGATTCAGCATTGTTAAAATACAACAAAAATTACAATTCAAAATAAATAAAATACAATATTGATATTATACTATATTCATATAAAAGTTAATTAATAAATTTGTGATATTTGATATTTTTGCAAATAAAATAAAAAAATGTGGAGAATAATTATAATTAACAATATTTATTCTGTTTTTCGATATGAAATATAATAAATAAAGGTGCTTTTTTTTGTTTTTTTTTTTTTAGGAAAAGTAATTGTTAATTTAAATTTTAGTTAAATTTCAATTATTTTTATTTAATTTGATGGAACACATTTTATAAAATTTCATTTTTGGATATTTAAATGGAAAACATATACCATTTATTATTAAAATATTATTTGTTCAATACCACATGCATTGTGTATTGTTTTATGTAGATATTCATATTTGACAAAGTTTAAAAACATTGTTTGACCAAAAAATTTTTTTTTCTCTGTAAATAACTTTTGAATAAATAAATATGTAAAGTTAGATAAAAGTATAGATGTAAAAAATATAAATCGGAAATATAAATAAAAATAAATATTAGTCAATTGTTAAAATAATATTTAGAAAGAATAATTATTATTAATGTAAACAAAACAATTTTATAATTTATAATAATAATTTTTAAATAGAAATTGCTTTAGGCATATAAAATTATTACATCATTAAAATCAACAACGTTTATATGATCAACGATTTGAATGAAAAAATAATTTTTTAAAATATTTTTAAAAAATATATTTTCTATGCAAATTATTATAATTTTTATGTAAACAAAATTTTGTAATGTTTTTTCGATAAACAGCATTTTAAAAGAAAATAATTTGTAGATAAAAAATTTTTTTATTTTCCAGGTGAAAAATATATTTTTTTTTTTTCAATTATTGATCGCAAATGTTGTGAACTTAAACGACGTAAATTATCGAATGATTAAATTTTTTTTTGTTTGTATTTTTTTTTATTGAAAATAACTAATTAGTTTTGAATTTATTGTACAGCAAAATATAACTAAATTATTGTCTGTTGAAAATGCGTGTAAACTATAAAAAAAATTGTGGTTTTCCTCTATAAAGTTCAGTGAAAAAAAAAAAAAAAAAAAAAAAATTTACAGCAAAATAAGTTTAAAAATTCATACAAACTCATTAGTCAATTAACCGAAATTGAATTTAAGAGAAATCTGTTAGGTTTTAAAGAGCTAAAAATAGTGTTTAATGTTTTTTTTTCTCGGAGAGAAAAATAGACGTTTTTCCTGTTAAAAAAGAAAAGGAAAAATTAGTACTTCCTTACCACATGTTTCTATGCCCTTACAAGTTCTAAACTTTCGTGCTCGAGAATTGTAATTTCCCCCTCAAAAAAAAAGTAAAAATAATAAAAATTGAAAACAGCTGGTTACAAATAAAATAAATACTTAAAAAAAAAGACTTATAAATAAATAATATTATAAATTTAAAAAAAAATTAACAAATAATGAATACTGGAAATAAAAATATAATAAATTTTTTAAAAAAATTAAGAATATAAATTAAGAAAAAAAAATAATCAGTAAATTAAATACCCACAAGTTTAAATAATTTCTATTTTTTTATAAAAAGCTAATTTATTATTTCTTAATATGTAAACAACAAATATTTAAGAATAACTTTAAATTTCTAAAAGGAGATAAAATAAAAAAATTTTGCTCATTTAAACGTTGGGAACTGTGAAGTGATTTTAAATTGAGAAAGTTCTTTGGAGTAAATTTAAACAATTTTTTTTTTTTTAATACATTTCTGTTATATTGGTTTTTTTTTAATCATGGTGCATTTGAGTTAAAAATTTTTTAATTTTATAATTTTAATTATTTTTTTAATATTGAATTTTTTTATTTTACACTATTTATAAGAAATTATGATAATTTTTTATCTTTTAAGCAATCTTGGAAATTTTTCATAAAAAAATTTTTTTTTTTTTTCTTGCTTTTCAATTTAGTATTTTATGAAAAGTTTCTACAAACTTTTTTTATTTGTGAAAACTTGATCTCGCGAAGTATTTATACAAAATATATATTTTTGAAGTTACAATGGAAACTTTTTCTAAAAAAAATTAATTATAATTAAATTTTTGTTTTTTTTTCAAAATAAAAAAGGAAGATCAAAACAAGTGAAAACATTGAAGATATCGAACTAAAGTATCAAGAAAGTTCTTTTTTAACAAGTAAAAAGTAACTTTAAGTAGCTTTAGGCTAAGAAAAGTAAGATAAAAAAAAAGTGTCCTGATAAAAGAAAAATGGCACAAAAAATTAAAAAAAAGAAAAAAAAGAAAAGAAAGAAAACGATGAGAAAGTTTGAAACCACTGCCATTAGACCTTTCAACAAAAAAAAATTCTTAAGCATTACTTTGTTTTCAGGTGCAGAAGATGTATTCAGGTTCACAGGAAACGAGACACATACAGATTACTTCCGACTGGTACTGAGAGATGAAAATTATCTTCTAGTCGGTGGAAGGTAAATTGAATTCTTTGACATGATTCATAGACTTTACTTTTTATTTTATATTATTATCGTCTTGTATTTTATTTTATTTTTTATTTTATTTATTTTTTTTTTAATATAAAAATCTGATAATTTTTGAAAAAAAATTGCTTTTGAACAAATAATTTCTGTATTTGAAATAAATATCATTTAATAATTTACTCAAATAATAATTATTTATTACAAATAAATATTTATTTGATAATAGTTAAGTAACCGATTATTTGAATCTAATAAATTATTTTTCAATTTAAAAAATTTTTAAATCTAGGTGTTTCAAAAATATATTTTATCTTGATTAGATAAAAAAAAAAAGTGATTAGTTTTATTTTTCGTTTATTTTTAACATTTTTACTGGAATCTAATGATTTCTTTTTTTCGAAATAAGAAATAATTTTCTTTTTCATTATTGATGAAAAATAATTTTAAAAAATTAAAAATAACTATAAAAAATATACTGAGAAATCAAAGTTTTCTAATTCTTTATTTCTCTAAATTGTATATTATAAAGTGGAGATTTTTTTTTTTTTTTAAATAAAAGTAAAGTTTTCGAAACTATAAATATAAATTTTTTTAAAATAAAAATAATTGAAATAAAAAATGAATGAAAAGCTTTTTAATAAAGTAGCAAACATTTGTTCTTATCTTTATTATACTTTGTTATAATAACAAAAGAATCTTTTGAAAACACAATTCCCCTAAAATAAAAAATGGATTATGAAAATAATAACAAAAAAAAAAAACTTATTTCTCAGTATCACATATACCTAAGGGAGTATCTTAGAAATCTTGAATTTTTTTTTTCTTAAAAAAACATAGAAGAAAATTTCTCTTTCTTTTTTAAAAAAAAAAAAAACAAAATTATTAAATTATTGTAACATTTTTTTTTTCAATTTTTTGCTACTCTTGTCTCAGTAAAATACCAAGGGGGAATATTTCAGAGATCTTTAAATTTTTTATTCTTAAAAAAAAGTAAACTAGAAAAGAAAATTTCTATTTTTAAAAGCAAAATATTGAAACATTGTTCTTGTAAACTTGTACTAAACATAGATTTTATACTGAAAAAAAAACATTAAAATATTTATAAAAATTCTTGAAATATATTTGACGAATTAAATTTTTTTTTTTGTGATACGTCTATAAATATTTTTCAAATGTAAATTAAGAATAAAAAAATATAATAATTGGGTCAATTATATTTCACCAAAAGTTGCTGTCCATTTTTTAAAAAAATGTTTTAATTCAAAATATTCTGGTTTTTTTTATAGACGTACAATTTATTTTTGACATTTATTTAATAATATTTTCTATAGGGTCAACTGGGGTAAATCCGAACGCTTTTAGTAAGTTTCAACAATAACATAAGTTTTTTCTTTAAAAAAAAAATACTTCCGGTATTCTGGTGCATGAAGTTGTTACTTTACTTCCATAGAACAATTTTATGGGGTAGAAAAAATTTTTGATAAATTACAATCGCAGGAAACTTAGCGTTCGTATTTACCTCAATACTTTGCAACTTTCCTAAAATATGGGGGTAAATACGAACGCCACTGTATTTCAGAAAAATCTTAGGGAAAATAAATTTAAAGTATTGCAATTGTTAAACTTATATAAAAACTCAAAAAAAATACGATAATAAACCTATTATGTAATAATGCATCATATATAAATACAAAAATCAAACAGGTTAAAAATTAAAATGCATTACACAATTAAAACCTTCAATAACTTTATCAAATCATAACGGATTTTTGCAAAACTTGGTACAGAAAGTATTTTGGAGTGATTGAATGTAAATACAAAAATAAAAGTCAAATTTTTTAAATTCAAAATGGCGTACTTTCCTAAAACTTATTTTTAAAAATGATCAAATTTGATAACCCTGAAACCCCCCGAGTAACAATTTTCGAGCGAATCCAATGAATTTTTTAATTCTCGTCCGCCATTTTGAATTCTGAAAAACTGACTTCAAATTGGTAATTAGCGACCCCAAAAACCGTAGAATACCAAATTTTATTGAGATCCTGAAAAACTTTTTTCAACAAACCATTTGGCAAAAAAATTGAAACACTCCTTCGAGAGAACAGAGATTAAGTTTCTGCTTATTAATTACTAACGAGGATACGTATAGAAAGAAAAACTTTTTTCTATGTACTTTTATAATGTTAAAATAATAGTGTAATCAAATAAAAACAATTTTGTGTGGCTTTGATGTAAAAAAAAATTATTAAAAATACCGTTCGGATTTACCCCAGTTTTCCAATTTTCTTGGGTAAATACGAACGGTCTGATATTATTAATAAAATTTTACAGAAGGCAAAAATCAAATATAGTTTCTGTTCTAGTATTCATAACAAACAATTATAAATAATAAAATGAATTTTTAGCTTCTTTTTCTTCAAATACGAGACAAAATACTGAAAGAGTGTCATCTTTGATTTTCAATCTTTTTTGCAATACTTGTTATCTTTGTTTATGCTGTTGCTAATTAACAAACAAAAAATGGGATAATACTTAGAATCTCTTCAAGAGGATCTGAGGTAAAAATTCTCATATCGAACTTATTTTTAAAAATTTTAATTAAGCTGAAATAATTAGCGTTCGGATTTACCCCCCGTTCGGATTTACCCCGACTGACCCTATTTACCTTGGAATATGAAGTAAAAAAAAAGTGAATTTAACAGCTTTAAAAAATTAAATAAAAAAGAACATACAATTCATTTATAAAAGATTCTTTAAATTACTTTTTCGATATTCTGGCTTCAACAAAAAGAGCAAAATATTATGTGAAAATTAATTTTTAAACTTTTACCTATTAAATGTCAAAATTTAACATATTTCAATTATCTCAATTTTGCTAGAATATGTTTAAATAGATTTTTATTAAATACAATTAAATATTAAGTACTTTTAATCTACTTTTATATTATATGCTGACTATTGAATTTTATATCATAGAATTATAGAATAATTTATCTTCAATGTTGAGATTTTGATAATTTTCGCTCATTTTGAACATTACTAATTCTATTTCAAAAAGAAACAAAAAAATTCATTCTCTGTTTTAATATTTAAATTAAATCTTCCTCTTTATCCTATCAAAATTTGTCGTTGGGGAACGAGGTACTTTTTATGTTTATTGAATTTTTTTAAAATCTTGTTTAAAAAACGAATTTAGAGGTTAAAATGCAAGTAGATTTATAAAACTGAAGTTAATTGAATTAGACAATTTTTAAATTAATAATCACACAGAAAACTTCAGTTTTATAAATAATCTACTTGCATTTTAACTTCTAAATTAAATTTTTCATCCAGATTTTTTAAATTCAATAAAAGAATTAAATTAAAAGAAACTCGTTTCCTAATGCCAAATGTTGATAGGATATGAAAAGGAAGATTTAATTTAAATATTAATAATATAAAGACAGTAGTTTTTTTTTTAATTTAGAAATTATTAATGTTCAAAAGCAGCGAATATTCTAAAAACCTCAACATTAATATATAGTTAATTTTTTCAAATTTCTATAAAATTAAATTAAACAGTCAGCATGTCATAAGAAAAATCAGCACAAATCATAATAAAAAATTAATATCATTAAATGTACCTTATTTATTTTATTTTATTTTAATAAAAATCTATTTACAGTTTCATTTAGAAAAATAGAATTAAAATGTGTTAAATTTAAACTCTGACATTTCACAGGTATAAATGTTTACAAAATTAATTTTCACCCTATATTTTTTGAGTCTCATGAATAAGCTCTAAAATATTAATTTGTTAGAATTTTCAATTAACTGATTTAAATTTAATCGAATTTAATTCTAATCCAATTTTTATTTTTTCAAATTATTATTTAACAGAAATTCAATTGACCTAAATTTCTATAATTATTATAAAGAAAAAAAAAATTATTTTATTACAAATACTCGATTACTTGACTAATATCAAATAAATATTTACTTGAACCAAATAATTTTTATTTTTGAATTAAATAAATTTTTAATTTGAATCAATAATTTCTGTATTTGAAACAAATACCATTTAAATTGCCTCAAATAATAATAATAATTATTTGATACAAATAAATATTTATTTGATAATACTCAAGTAATCGAGTATTTGTAATCAAATAAATTTTTTTTTTTTCAGTGTACAAAATTGTTACATTATCGAATTTTCATTTTACAAAACTTTTATTTGTCCGAATAAATCTCTGATAGAAATTAAAAAAATTTGTCATTTTAAGAATTTTATAAAATCAGGCCTCAAATCGTCTTTAAGATGCAAAAAAAATTATGGATAATTTTTGATTATGTTAAATGAAAATTCGAGCAAATAAAAATTCTGTAAAGTGAATTTTCGGTTAGGATATAAAAATTTTGTAATATGAAAATCGTTTTGATGAAAATTCTTTCAAAAATACTAATTCGAAGAAATAAAAATTCGGCTAAAAAATAATTATGACAAATAAAATTCCATAAAATGAAAATTTTAACTAATGATTTTTACAACATAATGTTTTTCTAAAAAATGGCCACAACCACTTTATAGATGAAATATAGAATGTATTGATGAAATAATAATGAATACTTTTTCTATTTGTTTTAATATAGAAATCTGGTACATAATTTGAGCTTGACAGACCTCACGGAACAACAAAGATTGACGTGGTACTCAAAGGAGGAGGACATAAAAATGTGTGTGATGAAGGGTAGCGATGAGGAGAAATGCCAAAATTATGTTCGCATTTTAGCGAAAACAGGGAATAATAATTTATTGGTTTGTGCAACGAATGCCTTTAAACCAATGTGTCGTGATTATATTGTTCAAGCTGGTAATTATTCTGTGGAAAATGAGAAACCTGCTCAAGCACGATGCCCCTACGATCCACAGCATAACAGTACTTTTGTTTACGTGAATGGCGAACTTTACACGGGTACTGTTGCCGATTTTTCGGGAATGGATCCAATTATTTACAGAGAGCCCCTTCAAACTGAACAATATGATTCTATGAGTCTCAATGGTGAGCATCAATTTATTACCATTTTTTTTTCTTTTTTCTTTTTTTTCAATATAAAATTGTGAAATTTCTTTTAAAAAATATATATATTTTAATTTTTTTTTATATATTAAAATATTCAAAAAATGCATAATATATAAAAAAAATGTATTTCAATAATATCTACAACCATAAAAATCAAATTTTTGGGTATTTTTTTTTTTTATTATTATTATTTATTTATTTATTTATTTATTTATTTAAATTCGCTGTGGAGCAGCTAAGGTCTTAAGCGATTAAATATAACTATACAATAATGTATAAATTGAAAAAATGTTTAAAAATGTTTGTTTTATTGTTTAAATTATTTTTGGGTATTGTCACTATGATTTTTGTAATTAGCGCCTCAAAATACGTAAAAAAAAAAAAATACGTACTATAAAACAAAACCGAAAATATTTTTAAAAAATTCAAAATTTTAAAAGTTTTAAAAAATTGTGAAAATTTTGAAAAAATCGTTTTCTCACGGTCGGACTAGGCTTAAAATTTTTGTAAAATGAAATTGTTTTTTTTTGTTTTTTTTTAAATCGAAGGATACAAACAATTTTAAAAACAAGATTTTAATCTTTAAATTACAAAAAATGTAATAAATTTTAATTTTATAATTTTTTGCATGAATTTTTTTGAAAAATTCAGTTAAAAACATAAATTAAAAAAAAACTTTTAAAATTGATGCATTTTTAAGGAAGTTATGAGCATTCAAAAATAAAAAATCATGAAATTTCTTTAATTTTGAAAAATTCATATCTCGTAAACGACTTGATGAAAAAATTTGAAAAAAAAATCATGAATCTCTTTTTTGGAGGGTACAAAACGGTAAATAAATTTCGAGTCAAAATCGACGATATGTTGATTTGGCATGGACCCCCCCTTATATATATATATATAAATATATGCGATTTTTTTTAATTTTAATTACTTCCTTTTGAAAATTAATATCAAATTTTCGTGACTAATCAATGAATATTCATTCAGTCTCAAAAATTCGTTATTAATCAAGTTTATAAAGTTGAATTTACTATGAAACCTTATTTTCATATCAAAGAGCTTTAAAAAAAAAAATTCGAATATTATATATTTTTTTTTAAAATAAATTTAATTATAATTAAATATAAATATTTTTTTGAGTCTGAAATATTTTTGAATCTTAAAGAAAAATTTAACTTTTAATGAAAAAAATGTTATGATTGTTTAAGGAGGATAAAGGTCCTAATATAAGCTCAAAATTTAAAAATAATTTTTAACACAAACAAAACTTTAATAAAAATTAATTTCAAATAATTTTAGAAGATTTAGTTATATGCTTTTTGGAAAAAATTTTTTTGAGTTAAAATCTTTTGTTAAATAATTTGGTATTTTTAACATTTTGACTTTTTTTTCTTTCAGCGTTGCTAAAATTCACAGTTTTTATTCAATTTAAAAAAATAGCTTATTTTACTCAGTGAAATATTCTCTACAATAAAATTTTTTTCAATTGTTAAAAATATGTTGTTAAAAAATTTACGATTGTAGAGAATATTTCACTGAGTAAAATAAGCTATTTTTTTTTTATAAAAATTGAATAAAAACTGTGAATTTTAGCAACGCTGAAAGAAAAAAAAGTCAAAATTTTAAAAATACCTAATTATTTAACAAAAGATTGTAATTCAACATAATTTTTTCCGAAATTTTATAACTAGATTTTTTAAAATTGTTTGAAAATAATTTTTATTAAATTTTCGTCTCAAAAGAAATCTTAATCTTAATACATCATTAATACATCTTAATCTTAAATACAAATCATAACTTCCATAATCTTCATTAAACAATAAAATTAAAAAATACGTATTTTTTTAATTTTCTGTATAAAATTTAAGAAAAAATTTTCCAATAAAGAAAATATGTTAAATAAAAATTTCACTTAGAATGTAAATGTAAATAAATAAATGTAAATTTTATTAATGTTATGATGTATATTTTTTACTAAAGAATAAAAAAACTAAGAAATTGGAACATTAGTAAATTAAAAAAGTACTGTGATGTCTACAATAATTATTTAACTCTTTAGAATTTGTATAAGAATCAAAAGTATTACATAAATTTCAATTAAAAATTTTATTAACATTTCTTTCTACTATTTACATAGAATAACTACCGCAACGTATTTTTTATTTATTTCAAATAAATATTCTTTAAAAAATTTTAAATAAGTGTTTTGATGTTAAGAGGTTAAAAACATGTGCATCCTTTTTTTTGTACGGAAGCGTTTTCTTTATACACGTTTAAAGTGTTATCATTAAGTTACTAAAAAAAAAACACTTAAAAAAATAGAGATTATATATATCTTCCTTTCCAACTTAATGATAATAATTAAACGTATATATATCCAAAGAGATGTACATGGAGAGAAATAAATAAAAAAAAAAAAAAAAAAAAAAAAAAAAAAAAAAAAAAATAATTAAACGTATATAAAATAAAATAACACATGCTGTTAACTTAAAAATATTTTTTAATCTAAAAAAAAAATTTTTCAAACATCTGTGCTCTTTTTATTTATTTATTGTTAAAAAAAAAAAAAAAAAAAGAACAAAAACTAAAATAAATAATATTACAATTATTCAGAAATATTGTTGTTTTAATACATTATTTTTAACAAAAACTCTTTTTTAAAATAGAATTTTATGCCCCGAATATCAGATATATTTTATAAACTTTTAAAAAATATTTTAAATAAAAAAAAAAATATGTGGCAGGCACTCTTTGTAAAAACCGAAAAAAACTGTTAATAAATTTTTCAATTAAAATTTGTACAATAAATATTTCTCTTTACATTTTTGGAAGAATCAAATTATTATTTGATAAAATGAATTGATGTAAATAAAAAAAATTTGTTTTTTTTTAATTTAATTGTTTTAAATTTCAAAATCGAAGGCTCCAATTTCAAAGTTTAATTAAAAATTTCTAGAATAAAAATAAATCAACTAAAAAAATATTCCAGTTAATATAAATTCGATGAAATTAAAAATTTCGTTAAATATAGATATTGTGTAATATGAAAATTTTATTATTCAATCTTCTACATCCGAGAAATATTTCAATAAAGAGAAAATGAAAATAAACAAAAACATTTGGATAAATAATTTAAATCAGTTTAAGTAATCCAACATTTTACAAATTGGAATAATTTTCTCTCTTTAGGGAATCAAAAATTAAAATGTCAAAATCACATTCTCATATTATATTCATTGTCAAATTATTGAGGTTATTTATAATACTATAATAATTTAATTTTTGATTATCAGAAGAGAAAAAAAAAGTTCAAAACGTTGGAATAAATTGTTTAAAATTATTTTCTCGAATGTTTTCATTTATTTTCTCAATGTGTTAAATAAAACTTTGCTTAAAAAAACATACAATGTTAAAATTAGGTTAATTTTTTTTTTTTTTTTTTTTTAAATAAAATTTTGACGTAAAATTTGAAAATTTAAAACTACAAAAAGTATAATTTGAATAAATTTATGCCGATAAATGAAAAATTATTTCCAAAATTGAAAAACTAATTTTAGAAATTTTTCTTTGGAAATTATATTATGAAAATTAATTCAATTATTCTTTGGAAAAAAATTTTCTTGTCAAATAATTTGTTTTCAACGTTTTTTTGAGAGTAATTTTCTAATAAAAATTAAAAAATAATAATAGGTTTAAAAATTTATTTTTAAAAGCACTAGAAAAAAAAATTCCTACTTTTTTAATAAAATTATTTTAATCAACTTTAAACTTGAACGTTGAGAATTTTAAATTGAGAAAGTTTGACTTTGAATAGTTTTGCATATATTGAATATTGAATAATTTAAAGTCGAATTTTAATTCGCATTTGAAAGAAAATAATTTTTTAAAATATGAAGAAGAAAATTTAAATAAATAGAAAAAAAAATTTTTTTCTTTATTTTTTACAGCACCAAATTTTGTCAGTTCTATGACCCAAGGGGACTTTGTATATTTCTTCTTCAGAGAAACTGCTGTTGAGTACATCAATTGTGGAAAAGTAAGTGAATTTCTTTGCATTCTATCTTAATATTTTTTTTTTTTTTTTTGATATGTAAATGAATAAAAAAGAATTTTTGTTAACTATCATTGTAATTTTTTAATGTAAATAATTTTTATTCTTCTCTCTCTCTCATTTTCTAGGCGGTGTACTCTCGCGTTGCAAGAGTTTGCAAACATGATCGAGGGGGACCTCATCGTTTTCGTAATAGATGGACAAGTTTTTTAAAATCCCGCCTGAATTGTTCAGTAACAGGCGATTTTCCATTTTATTTTAATGAAATACGTGAGTAAAATTGGAAATTTTTCATTATTATTTTAATGAACATTTTTAAAATTTTGTTTTTTAAATTAAAAAACAAAAATTTGGAATTTCTAACTCAATTTTTTTGTTACATTAAAAATTAATAAAGTAAATTTTTTAATAGAAATAAATTAATATTGGTGGTATTTTAATTAATTTAGAGGAATTCGATACTTATATATATATATGAAGCGAAATTCCTGAAGTGATCCAATTGACAAAATGTGAGCATTGCATTTTTTTTTTTGAAAAATCATAACTATTGTATAAAAGGATTAATATATGATTTCGAAAGGTTTTTTCTTGCTCTTTCGAATGGTGTAAAAAATTTTTTTTAAAAAATTCAAAATTTACCCCTTTTTTTAAACATAAAAAAAGGATTTTTCACTTTTTTTTTAATAAAGAACAATTTTTATTTCTGGACATTTCCATGAAAAAACGTCACGATTACTAAATTTGTCGGTTACTTTTTTTTTTAAATTATTATAAAATAAAAATTTTTTATTACCTACATGAGAAAGATAAGAAAAACTAGAAACGTGTTTACTTTATTTGTTTGTAAAATATTTCATTTTTAATTAACATTAATTAATTAATTAATATCTCGAAAACAAAAAAAAAACGACATTTTGTTTAATTTGTTTATAAAAAGGATACATTTTTTTTTAATTGAATCACTTCAGAAATTTTGCCGCATATATTTTTGTTATAAAAATTTTCTTTTTAAAATAATTATTTTTTTTCACTTATTTTTTTATTATCTTTCTTTAGTAAAAAAAAAACTGAATAAAAATTATTGTTAGAAAAAAAAATGCTGTCACTAAAATATAAAAATTGTTATTTTTTAATTTTGAATAGAATTTTAGTTTTTAAATTGACATTTGCAACGATTGAGTTAAAAGAGTTTATTAATAAATTGTTTCTTATTTGTAGAGTCGACAACAGAACTGATATCTGGTCAATATGGCAGTACATCAGCACAATTAATATACGGCGCATTCACAACTCCTGTTAATAGTATAAGTGGATCTGCCGTTTGTGCTTTCTCGTTGCAAGATATTGCTGATACCTTCGAAGGTAATTTTAAAGAGCAAAGTGCTCTTAATTCAAATTGGCTGCCTGTTCAGGGCTCTAAAGTTCCAGATCCAAGGCCAGGACAATGTGTCAATGACTCTCGCACGTTACCTGATTTAACTTTAAATTTTATAAAAAGTCATTCGCTCATGGATGAATCTGTTCCAAGTTTCTTTGGACAGCCCATCGTCATTCGAACAAATTTCCAGTAAGTGGCACAATTTTATATTTTTAATTCTTTATTAGAAAATAATAGTGAACAGAAAAATAAATATATTAATCCTGTGGTCACTTCAGCAAAAATTATCTAGGAAAAAAAAACTAAAATAAATAAAATTCTAGAATTAAAAAAATTGATGTGCTTATATTTCTAAAAGTTTCGGAGATATGATTTTCTAAAGTCAAATTTTAGAGATCAAGAGAAAAAAAAAGACTAAAATAGTTAATGAATTGACGGAAAAGAAAAAGCAAAGAATATGAGATAACACTTTTTCTAAAAAAAAATATTTTCTAATTTTTATTTTTCTAAAAAATTGTATTTTACAAATCTTAATTTGTTAGAAAAATATATTTTACAAAAAAAAAAAAATTAATAGAAAATTTTTTTTTTAGAAAAATGATTTCATTGTAAAAAATCACTTAAAAAAAAAATCTTTTAATATCCAGTTTAAAAAATAACAGTTGATTTAACCACATATATTTTGTTTATTTTAATTAAATTTTTTTCATTTCAAACAAATTTTATTGAAAAAAGTCAAACATTTTTTTAAAAAATATAAATTTTTGTTGAAAAAAGCGTATTTATAAAAAAAACAGTATAATTCATTTACAAAAAGTTTTCTTGAATAAATATGAATTAATGTAAAACATCGGAACGAAAAAAAAATCAAATTTTTTTTTTATTATTTTTAGTAAACTACCAAACCATTTTTTTTTATAATTGAAGAGAAAGTTAACAAAACCTTATACATATATTTTTTCAAAATTTTAAACACAATTTTTATGAATAATATAAATTATTGTATTGCGAATAGAAATAATGTTTTAAGGCAAATTTTTAAAAATGGATTTTTTCACATTTTGTTAACTTTCTCCTAAATTATTAATAAAGTTTTTCGTTTGACTTTTGAGCCATTTTTGTTAGAAATTCATGTTTAAATTAGTAATCGAACTTTTAGCGCAATACAAAAAGAGAGTTTAATATAATAAAACTTTTTGAATGCAATACTTTTTTTTAAAAATTTTTAATGTCTTTTCCGGCAAAATTTTTGATTTTTGTATTTAAATAAAATAGTTTTCATGGCTCTAAAAGAAGTTTTTTAAAAATATATTTTGGATCAATCAAAATTTTTATAAACAATAATATAGATGTCTATTTTTTCATTGATAATTGTTCAAAATGGTCTAATTTACTTAAATATTAATAGAATATTGTATAAAAAAAAGACCAAAATTAGGTGAAAATTAATTAATGTCAAAATTTGACAAATTTTAAATAAATTTATGTAGAAAATTTGTAAATAGATTTTTATTAAATACAACTAAATATTAAGTACTTTTAATCTACTTTCATATTATATGCTGACTATTGAATTTTATATCATAGAATTATGGAAAAATTTACCTTCAATGTTGAGAATTTTCGCTCATTTTGAAAACTAATAATTCTTTTTCAAAAAGAGACAAAAAAATCAGTCTCTGTTTTAATATTTAAATTAAATCTTCCTCTTCATCCTATTAAAATTTGTCGTTGGGGAACCAGCTACTTTTTATGTTAATTATATTTTTTTAAAATCTTGTTTGAAAAACGAATTTAGAGATTAAAATGCAAGTAGATTTATAAAATTGAAGTTAATTGTATTAGACAATAAATTAATCAAAAATAAGATGTTCACGAAGTGCTTTCATCTCTCTTTATTCTCATAAAAAAACAATAAAATGTCAAATTGTTTTGTTAACTTCGAGTTCTAATAAATAACCATTTTAATTTAAAAAAATTCAATTTTGTTTTACTACTTTTTTAACTTTAAATTTTATTATAAAATAATTATATTGTTTTTTGTATTCAAAAATAAATTAATAATTTATTAAATGTTTCCCGTATATATTTTTTTTATTTTATAATTTTTTTTTTTTACTTTGAGCGAAAATAAGTGAAAACAGCCAATTGCAAAATTTTTGTCTCCGATTTTTAAGTTATTTACATTTTTTAATAGGTATATGCATATACTTTTACCCCCTAAAATATTTTTCAAAAATATTATTTATCTTGGAAATGAGGGGGGGGGGGGTGAAAGTTTTGGGTAATGAAATTTTCTTTTTGCTATTACTCAGAAACGAATAAAGATAATTGAGTGAATTTTGTTTTAAATTAAAGCTTAAAGTCTATATTTTCATGTCTAATCAAAGCGCTTGTTGTAAAATTAAAGCTTTCAATTGTTAAATTGAAAAAGAAAAATTTTTAATTTTGCTAATTTATTATTAACATCAAAGAAAGAATGTTCAATAATTGAATAAACACATTAACATAAAATTTTATATTAAAGTTCGCCATAATTCACATTAAATTTCACAATTGTCACTTCACATGATTTATATCAAATTTACATGAATATTTAACAATTAATAATTAGTATTTTACAAAGCGTTTACCAATTACTCGTGTGTCGAATACTAATCTAGTTAAATATTAATGATTATTATATTTATGTTCGCATATCTTCACATGTGAACGATATTTTTTAGATCATATATTATATTCTACAATAATAGTAGTTGCTGGAATATTGTGAAAAATTTCAGTTTTAATATTAAATAATTAATATAATCGAATATAAAAATTTTTTTCAACGATAAAATTTCTTAATCTTTTTGAAGCTTGTAAATTTTTTCTGAATGCTCAATAAAAAAAAATTAAGGTTTTGCAGATATTTTATTACTAATATAATTTATTAGCTATTAAAATTTGGCGAATGTATTTTGCTTTGTTTCAGAAATATTATATTTGACAATTTTTTACTTAAAAATGTTAATTCCAGGTCATCAAAAATTTTATATCTCTCTATATGATAAAAGAAACAAAGAGATGTGAAATTGATTTTTCAACTTGAAGTCCTGGAATTGACATTTTTAAGTAAAAAATTTTCAAATTTAATATTTCTGTTATATCTTTGCTAAATTTTAATATTGTTTTATATGTTAATATATTTTATGTTAATTACTAATTCAATAATTAGAGTTAATTAATTAATTATTTAATTACATAATTAATATTATGTTAATAATAAAATATCTGCAAAATCTCAAATATTTTGGAGCATCCAGAAAAAAAGTTACAAGCTTCAAAAGATTTTTTTTTCATTGAAAAAAATTTTTATATTCGCGATTATTATTTTAAAATAAAATTTTTTTAAAAAATAATTCCATCATATTTAAGTGCAAAATAAACTGATTTATGTTTCTGGTGTGTAATAATAAATATTATGAAATTGTTTTTAAATTATGTTTTTAAAAACGTTCAAAATTTATATATATTTTTTTTTATTTTTAATTTTTAAAAGCATGAAACGAAATAAAAATTACTTGTTAATATTATGGTCAATAAACTCATAAATTCATCGAGTTTCACAATATATTAAAACTGGAATTTTTCAAAATATGCCAGCAACCACTTTCTGATGATTTTTAGTGGACTGTTCGAGACGCATGAATAAGCACTAAAGTACATTTTTTAGAATTATGTTTTAATAGAATTTTATTATGTAGAATTTTAATTTTACAGAAAAATAATTGTAAAGAATTTTAAATTTCCAAAATATTCATTTGTTCGAATTTTCATTTTATGTACAAATTAAATTATTAAACGATTATAAATGTTACAGAATTTTTATTTAGACGAAAATTAATTAGCCACAAATTCAATTTGATCAAATCTCAATTTGTGCGAAACGTTATTTTATACCTAGAACTTTTATTTTGCAGAATAGTAATTCAAAAGAATTAATTATGCAGAAAAAAATTATTATATAATTTTACAGAAAAAATGCAAATTGTCGAAAATCAATTTGACAGAACTATTTTGAGGTTAAGTTTAAAATTGACCAATCACGATTTTTGTCAGAATTTCTGATCTAATTGGTCAATTTTAAACTTAACCTCAAAATAGTTCTGTCAAATTGATTTTGGACCATTTGCATTTTCTGTAAAATTATAATATTATGTTAAATTAATATTCTTTCTTTGTAATCTTTTTCCTGCATAATAAAAATTCTTTTAAATTACTATTCTGCAAAATGAATATTCTACGAAACAATAATGTTTCGCACATATTGAGATTCGATCAAATATTGAATTTCTAGCTAATTAATTTTCGTCGAAATAAAAATTCTGCAACATTGATAATCGGTTAATAATTTATTCTGTAAAATGAAAATACGAACAAATGAATACTGTGAAAATTTAAAATTCTGTACAATTATACACAGGTGAACAAAAAAAATTTCATGTTCTGAGCTCGAGGTTAAATACTTTATGTTTTTGGGGTCTATGAAACTGAATCTGAAGTAAGTTTAACCCTATCACGTCAGGTATTTGACATAACCTCAAAAAATCTCAAATTTCGTCCTAAAAATTTTGAAATGAAAAAAAATTCCGATTTATAAGTCTTACCATGTCTACATTATGTTTTTGGGGTCACTGAAGCCAAATCTTAAGTCTATTAAAACTTCATAACGTCAGGCTTTTGATCCTTCTGACATAACATTAAAAACACTAAAAAAATCAAATTTTGGGTTTTTTTCGAGGTTATGTAAAAAAACATGACGTGATCCCAGATAGCACGGAAACTTGCGGCAAGCTTACCGTGCAAGCTTGTCTGAGCTATTGAAATGTCCCACCCAGGGCAAGCTTGCCGTGAAAGCTTGCTGTAAGCTTTCCAGGAAAGGTTGCTGCAATCTTGCCATGAAAGATTGCTACAAGATTGCGGCAAGCTTGCCGTGAAAGATTGCTGTAAGCTTGCTACGTAAGGTTGCAGAAAAATTTCAACAAGTTTCTGGAAAGGTTGCTGCAAGGTTGCTGCAATTTTTAAAAAATACATTTAAAATTTTAAAAAAATTTATTTGTTTTCTAAATTTGAAAATCCTTGTGACGTTTAATTATGTCCTGTTTATTTTCATTTGGAAACTTAACGAGAAAATTTTCGAAACAAATTTGAGGGGACTGGGAATTTAACCCGGGTTCGACAGACACTAACCAAAGACCCTAACCGAGAACCTACTCGACCAACTATTAGAGAATAAAAAAATCTTGCTCTTAACCCTCGTTTTTCAACTGGTTTTCAACTCATATAAACAGTCGAGGGTTAAGAGCAAGATTTTTTTATTCTCTGATAGTTGGTCAAGTAGGTTCTCGGTTAGGGCCTTTGGTTAGTGTCTGTCGAACCCGGGTTCAATTCCCAGTCCCCTCAAATTTGTTTCGAAAATTTTCTCGTTAAGTTTCCAAATGAAAATAAACAGGACATAATTAATAATAATAAACGTCACAAGGATTTTCAAATTTAGAAAGCAAATAAATTTTTTTTTAATTTAAAATGTATTTTTTAAAAATTGCAGCAACCTTGCAGCAACCTTTCCAGAAGCTTGTTGAAATTCTCCTGCAACCTTACGTAGCAAGCTTACAGCAATCTTTCACGGCAAGCTTGCCGCAATCATTCTTAGTATGCTTGCAGCAATCTTGTAGCAATTTTTCATGGCAAGATTGCAGCAACCTTTCCTGGAAAGCTTACAGCAAGCTTTCACGGCAAGCTTGCCCTGGGTGGGACATTTCGCTAGCTCAGACAAGCTTGCAGCAAGCTTGCCCGGCAAGGTTGACAAGCTTGCACGGTAAGCTTGCCGCAAGTTTCCGTGCTATCTGGGATAGGGTTAAATAGACCTCAAATTCGGTTTCAGTGACCCAAAAAACATAAAGTAGACATGGTAAGACCTCGAGCTTGGAACATGAATTTTTTTTGTGTGCCTGTGTTATATTTCTTTGCAAAATTAAGATTCTTTTAAATTAGGGTAACTGTGGGTAATTCTGCTGATTTTCAGTGTAGGTTAATTTTGCAAAGCTTGTTTGAGCTCATATTTAAACCAAATGTAAAAAAAATAATAAATAGGTAACTAAATATTTATATTTAAAACAATAAAGTCTACTTTATTGAATAGTAACACTAAATTGTGTATATTATTGAAAATGTTGAAAATATAAACGTTTTCTGATAGGTGTTCATAGCTGCCATATTCCATAATTTCATGGAATTCAGTCATAGTCTACTTTAAATTTAAATAATTACATTAATAATTAACGAAATTTACATTTTTCTTGGCTATTTCATGAAGTAAGATGTACACTGAAAAAAAACTAGTAGGTTTTACTACTTTTTAACTACTCTTGAGTAGTACAATAGGTCCTCAACTGAATTTAAACGGTTCTATTAACCATATAAAAATAGTTAAACCAATTAAAAATGTAATTGGTAGAATGACATTTTGTGATTGTATTAACTCAATTTAAAAATGTTAAAACAACTCAAGATGTAAGTAGTAGATTTTACTACTTAAAGTGGTTCAATAGGCTTTAAGAACATTTTTTTGGTACATTTAATAAATATTTTGCAATTGAAACTACTACTTTAAGTATTAAACTATACTACTGAAAGTGGTTCAATAGGCTTTAAGAACATTTTTTTGTAGAATTAATAAATCTTTTGCAATTAAAACTACTACTTTAAGTAGTAGATTTTACTACTTAAAGTAGGAAAATAAAATTATTTTTTATTTATAATTGTTTATTATCAGTAAAATTGACTTTTTCATCCTCTCTCCTATACTGACGCTTATTTTATGCCCTAACGATTATGTACCTAACAGAGAAAATTTCTAACCGACGGGAATTGAACCCTCGACCCTAACGCTCGCAATCCGATACCTTAACTGACTAACCACGCACGCTCGCTACGACAGTCTGCAAACTACTCGAAGACTACTTTCTGTTTGTCCAATTGGTAATTTAACTATTTAAAATAGTCATTTTTATTACTTTTATTAGTTGCTATAACTATCCTTTTTAAGTTTTGACTTGTCAATTTTTCATCTTTCAATTATATTATAAGTTGTTTAATTGCATAGTGCATCTACTACTTAAAGTGATAGTTTTAATTGCAAAGGATTTTTTAATTCTACGTCATAAATGTTCTTAAAGCCTATTGAACCACTTTAAGTAGTAAAAGCTACTACTGAAAGTAGTAGTTTTAATTGGAAACGATTTGTAAATTTTACATCAAAAACCGTTTTTCAAGCTTATTGAATTAATTAAAATAGTAAAAAAAATTACTACTTAAAGTACTAGTTTTAATCACAAAGGATTTGTTAATTCTACAACAAAAATGTTCTTATAGCCTATTGTACCACTTTGAGTAGTAAAATCTACTACTTAAAGAAGTAGTTTTAACTGGAAACGATTTGTAAATTCTACATCAAAAATCTTCTTTAAGTTTATCGAATTAATTAAAATAGTAAAAATCTACTACTTGAAGTTGTAATTTTAATTACTGACGACTTGTTAATTCTACAACAAGAATTTTATTGAAGCCTATAAAATCATAGAAATTAATAAAAAATTGACTACTCAAAAAGCAGTTATATTAATTAAAGAAAATAATTCCTTTTACTACATTTCATATAACTGGTGAATAGTAGTTGGATTTACTACTCTTGAAATTTTGAGTTGACTACAATTCCACTTGTTTTTACTACCTTAAGAAAGTTAATTTTACTACCGACCTGTAGTTGTACTTTAACTATATATTTACGTAAAATCAACTATTACTTATTAACTTCTTAAAAATAGTTACATTAACTACATGAACATGATTAGATTAACTAAAAAAGTAGTTATTTTAACTACTTTCTAGTCAACTACTCAATGGTACTTGAATTTCTCGGCAACATTTTTTTCAGTGTAGAATAATTTTTGCGGTCATTTTGAACAAATCATATATTCATAAATGATAAATAATAATAACTTTATAAAAACCGCAACAATTGGTACACCCGTAGGAATACCCACAGTCACCCTACTGTTCTGCAAAAATAATATTCTAGATAATAAAATTCTAGTAAATCAGAATTGTAAAAAATGTGCTTTGTGCTTATTCATGCGCCTCGATTGACCCAATTATCTTTAAAAAAAAAAAAAAATTTTAATTAATTGTAAACATTATTGTTTGTGCTTTCAGTTATAGATTCACACAAATCACAGTTGATCCACAAGTAAAAACACCGGGTGGTAAAACTTATGATGTTTTATTTATTGGCACTGATAATGGAAAAGTGATAAAAGCAATAAATGCCGAATCAGCTGATTCACATCAAAAAGTTAGTCCAGTTGTTATTGAAGAGATACAAGCATTTCCAACGACAATTCCAGTGCGTGGAATAAAAGTTGTACGCGCCTCACAGGCTGGCGATGGTTTAGAGGACGGTCGTCTTGTTGTTATTTCCGATAGTCAAGTACAAGCATTGAGATTACATCGATGTTACAGTGATAGAATTCTTTCTTGTGGTGAATGTGTTGCACTACAAGATCCCTATTGTGCATGGGATAAAGTTGAGGGTAAATGTCGTGCACTAGTTGGACCAGCAGCAACTGATGCCACGAGATTTTTGCAAAGTGTCGCAACTGGCATACATAAATATTGTCCGCCAAGTAAAACTGTAAATAAAGATGCTGGCAGCTTTGGAGCGATATCTGCCAATCAAAATAAATTTCCTCAAGATTCTCTAGCGTCTAATAAAGATGGGCAAGGAGGTGAGATTATAAATATTATGCAAGACGAAGAACAAAGCAGTTCAGGTTAGTTTAACGTATGGTGAATAAAACAGTTTTGTTAAATAAACTGGTAGTTGAAAAGAGAAATTTATTTTTCTATTTTCTTTTTTTTTCGGTGCATGATTATATTCCATAAAAATCATTAAATAGAATTTTCATTTTAAAGAATTTTATTTGAAATAATTATTTTTTAGATATGAATTTTCATTTTTTGAATTATCATTTGACAGAATTTTTTTTTTTATATGAATTTTTACTTAACAAAATTTTTAGTTAGCGAATTTTTGTTTGGCAGAATTTTTTTTTTTTAATTTCTGTAATTTAAAAATTCGAAATTTGGTAGCTAAAAATTTTGTTAAGTAAAAATTCGTATAAAAAAATTCTGTCAAATGCTAATTCGAAAAATGAAAATTTGTCTAAAAAATAATTATTTCTAATAAAATTGGAATATATAATTATGTTCTAAAAATTATTAGTTAGAATTTTCATCTTATGGAATTTCATTTGTCATAATTATTTTTGAGTCGAATTTTTAATTGTTCGCATTAGTATTTTGGAGAATTTTTATCAAAACTATTTTCTATATTACAGAATTTTTATATGACTAAAAATTCACTTCACAGAATTTTTATTTGTTCAAATTTTTATTTGCTCGAATTTTCATTTAACATAATAGGCATTTTAAAAAAATTTTATTGGGTAGAATTTCATTGCATAGAATTTTCTTTCAGATGAAATTTCATTTATTCGAATTATTATTTGATATAATTTCCATATAACCGATATTTCGTACTACAAAATTTTTACTTAGCCGAAAAATCATTTAATAGAATTCCTAATTGATAAAAATTTCATTTGTCCGAAATTGCAAATGGCCAAACAAAAAATCGACAGAAAGATTTCGGCGCGATTTTTAAAAGTAACCAATCACAATTTTTAGGATAATTTTTGATTGGTTGATTTTTAAAAATCGCGCCAAAATCTTTCTGTCGATTGTTTGTTCGGTCATTTGCAATTTCGGACAAATGAAATTTCTATATCAATTAGAAATTCTGTTAAATGATTTTTCGGCTATGTAAAAATTCCGTAGTGTGAAAAATCGGTTATATGTGAAGTTAATTTTCTGTTATATAGAAATTCTGTAATATAGAAAATCGGTTTGATGAAAATTTTACAAAATATTAATTCAAAGAAATAAAAATTCAACTCAAAAATAATTATGACAAATGAAATTCCATAAAATGAAAATTCTAACTAATAATTTTTAGAACATAATATCATGCGTCCGATAAAATTCTTTGAAATAAAAATTCTAATTAATTATTTTTATGGGAAATTCATGCGTCCCTTTTTTTTTCTTATATGAGACGTTCCATTAACAGAGGAAATTTTGATTTTCAGATTTAATTTATACTTTTTCATTTTTGTTGTTTTAGAGATCAATTTTAAGTTATGTCAAAACAGTTTTGCAAAGTTTCAATTATTTTCAATTATTTAAAGCAAAAATTTTTCATGCAATGAAAAACAATTTTTTTTTTTCTTTACTATCAGAAAGTGCATGATCAAAAATAACGAAAATTAGCATTTTTGAAAAATTCAAGTCTTTTTGATATTTATGATTATTTCTTTTTTAAAATTATATTTATTTGCTGCAAACAATAGTTTGGAATCGGAAATTTTTTGAATTAAAATTAAAAAAAAAATATCCCAAAGATTAATTTTTAAAATTAAAAAAAGTTAGATACAATAAACAAAAAGTTCAAAGTGACACAATGGTGTACCGCTGTTCTTTTAAAAGGATTATTGTAAAAATTGTAGGAAAAATATTAAATTTTAATAATATTTTATTAGAAATTAAAAAATCTATTTTTTTTTAAATTTATTTAAATAATATTTTTTTAACACCAAGTTTGTGAATTTTTTTTTTTAATATTTAAATTAAAGCTTGCCATGAGATTAAAAATTTCTACAAAAAAAGGAATTTTTTTAAACAAATTGTAATTTCATAGAATGTTTGATTATAAGAATCGCCACTCACTCTAAAGATGAATTTTTCAAACGGTTTTTATCTATAAAAAAGTGAATTTCGTAATAATAATTAAATTATTAATATAATTTTGCCAATGCAAAAAAGTTAATAATTAATTTTTCGAAAAAATCAAAAAATACATCTCTCAAAATTTCAGTGACTTTTAAGGACATATCAAGCTTTAATTTAAATTTTTTTTTTTTTTTTTTTGAAACAAAAGTTTACGGACTTTATAGGTAAAAAAAAAGTTATTGAAAAATTATTATTTAAATAAATTAACTAAAAAATTGGATTCTTTAATTTCTAATAAAATATTATTTTCAATATTTCTGAAAAAGACGACCTTAAAACTTTAACTAACAATATCTGGAAAAATAATAATTGAAAGCAAAATTATTTTGACAAACTTAAAATTCACCACCCTGAAGTTGGCTTCGACGCTCGGCGTCGAAAATTATTTTTCATGGGACCAAAAATATCAAATTATTTTTAAAATCGTTTTGTGTTCACATAATACCTTAAAAAGTATTTCTCAAGGTTTTATTTGGACGGAAAATATTTTTAAAAAAATAATTTGACATTTTTGGTTCTGTAAAAACAATTTTCGGCGCTGAGCGTCGACGCCGACTTCATGGAGGTTAAAATTCACCACTAAGATAACAAAATGGCAAAGTATAAATAAAATCTGATATTAAAAGTTTGTCCTATTTATGGAACGACACATATATATGTATTTTGAATGAATTTTTGAATTGATTAGTGATAACTAAAAAGAAAAGCAGTGTATTTTTTGTATTTTAAAATTTTTTTTTGAAAAATCAACGTCGAATACTTTTTCTAATATTTGAACTGTGTTATTGTTTTTGAATTTTCAAATATTCATTGAAGTTATTATCGTCTTTTCATAATGTGGCATATCTCTTTAATGTTTATTTATTTTTAGGACCGGAAGTATCAGCAGCGGATTCTCCAACGCCACAATATTCTGTCGAAACTTTAGTAATGGCAGTGGTTGCTGGTGCATTGTCTGCCCTATTCGTTGGCTTTGTTACGGGTTATTTATGTGGTCGAAAATGTAGAAAGGATGAAGATGATAATTTACCGTATCCAGACACTGAATACGAATATTTTGAGCAACGCCAAAATGTTAACAGGTATGTTTCGATGTGATGACTGTTTTATTTTTTTTCTATTTAAATGCCATACAATCGTATAGTAATTTGATACTACTTTTTATTTCTTATAAATATTCATCAAATCTATTCATCAAATTCACTTTTTAGAAGAATCACTCATAATAATAGACACTGTTACACAGAAAAAAAACTGAACTCAGAATGAGCCGTGTAGGTGGCTCATTTTTATTTGCAACAAAAATGAGATTAGGTTTTTTTTTGTGTAAAGACGAATTTTTTTCGTCAATTAGTAAGGTTTGAAATGATTTAAATTTTTGAACGTTTGTGAACAACGAAAGGGAAATTTTAGAAAAAAATTTTTTTATCAGGGAAATGTCAGTGAATTTAAAACAAACTTGCTGGGAAAAATATTGTAAACTTAGATTTGCTATTTATAAGGTACCTAACATGTTCATGAGTTAAAAATCACAGTGTTCAGCAACGCTTAAAAAACATTGAATTCTCTTTGAATTTATTTTTTTTTATCTTGAAAATATTTAAATTCTCTTTGAATTTTAAAATAAAAACCTTGAATTATTTTTCAATTTTATAAAATAATAATTAGATATTAAAAATATTTTCAATTTATCTTAAAAATAATGAATTCATTTCATTGTGATTGAAAATAATAATTTAATGATGTGAATCAATTTAATAATTTATTATTATTCAGTAAATAAAATAAGCCTATATTTCTGGAATTAAGAATTCGATAAAATTAGAAAATGAAAATATTATTATATAACAGTATTAATTAAATAGATAATTAATATTATTACTGTGTAACATAATATTTAATTCAACCAAAATAACAAATGAAATGAATACCTATATCATTAATAAATATAATATTAATTTCATTATAATATAATTAACAATTTACAATATATAATAGATGGTTATTGATCGATAAGAACACAATCAATTTTTAATATTAAAATTAATTAAATACTATAAATTCATTTCGTTCTATAAGCATATTACAAACAAATACAAATATTTAAAATTATTTGTGTCAGTAAAATAGATCAAATTTTAATTTTAACTTTTATGCTTTATATATTGGGGCATTTCACGTGAGATTTTTATTAAAAAAAATTTTTTTTTTTTTTGACTTGAACATTATAAGTCAGTACATACTTTTAAAAAATTTTTTATTTGATAAAGTTATGGAAATTATGATTTTTAAAATTTTTTAAGGTCGTCAGAAGCAGAGTACTTTTGAAATGCGTTTTTTTCTGTCATTTTTTAGATTTAATTTAAATTTTTTCAAATGCTTCCATAGCATTTCTCTGCTTTTTAAATTTTTAAAAAATTTAAATTCCATAATTTTTCATAAAAATTTTGAAAAACAATTTTTTAATCAAAATTTCACGTGGAATGCCCCATATATTTTTTATTATATGAGACATTTGATAAAAAAAAAAAGCCACACAAAATTTAAAGTAATTAGATTGGATTATTATTATTCTGGAAAATAAGTGTTCTATGTGTGAGAGTAACAAACCCCTATTATATTATTACTCATGAAAAAAAAAAAAAAAAAAAAAATTATAGAAAGCAATGGGGGTTGAAATGACTTTTTTTGGGCGAATGACACGATTTTTTTTTCTTTTTTTAACAACAAAAGCGGAAGTTTTTTCCTATAAGAATATTTTTAAAAATGGTCCTAGAATGTTTAATTCTTGAAAATTAATATTTTTTTTCAAAAATGCATTTTATTAATTAAAAAGACGTCAAAAAAACTATAGAAAATAAAATTGATAAAATGACCCAAGTATGAGCGCGTTTAAAAAAAAAAAACTTTTTTTACCTTGATCACTTGACGTGAAATTCCCCATGAGTGGAATAATAATATTTAAAATTAAAAATTATAATTTCGAAAAGTTGTTAATATGTCGAAGCAATTTTGAAATTATTTTTATACCTGCATTCGTATGTTTATATATTTAAATACAAAAGGGACCTTAGGGCGATGGGTAATAAACAGTATACATATAAATTGAAAATCATAAAAACAATTCAGCCAGTTTCAATTAGTGTATTTGCCTGTTTAGACGTGTTTAAAGTAATAGTAAATTTTCTAAATAAGTATTTTTTCTTTATCGTTTTTAATTTGATTTTTTTTTAATTTAGAAATAAATATCTTCGGGAGTGCGTACAAATTTTTTAATTTATTAGCGAACAAAAAAATTTTAGTGTTAAATAATTTTTTTGTTTTTCTTTTTTTGTCAGTTTAGTAAATTTTTTGTTCCGGGAGTGTTCAAAATTCTTAAAATCGCGATCGCTTAAATTTTTAGAATAGATATTTTGTTTTTTAATAACTATAATTTTAACTATAATTAATTTTTTTTAAAATTCTTTGTTATAAATTTTTAATAATATCTCGAATCACTCTATCATTCAATAATTAAATATAGTTTATAAAATTTTTTAAATATTCGTTTACTTATTGAATAATGTTGATTTATTCTATATTTCGATAACTTATAGTTAGATTCTGATATTTATTTATTTGCAATTTACGGGCAATGCCCTTTAATACAATATAAATTACATATTAACGAATGTCAGTAGAAAAAAAAATATAAAGAAGTTTTTAAATTTAAAAATTTATTAAACAATATTATAAATTTAATTAAACTTATTAAATATAATTTTGTTAATAGAACAAAGAAAAAAAAAAGTTATAAACTTAATTATAAAGGGTAAATTTGCTCAATTATAAATTAGCTTCAAATTAGCTTTAAAATAAAGTTTGATTCTTTTATTAATAAATACCAATATTATCTAGTTGTTAATAGAATTATCAAACTTTATTTTAAAGTTATGTACTTTGAAGTAAATTTGTTTGTGAGCGATTTTAGCCTACAGAAGCAAAATAAATCTATCTTACCGTAAATTTTAAACCGAATTTCTATCAAAATTTTACATATTACATCCGAATTTTGTTCTATTTTAAAGTGCCTATTACTACGAAGCTGAAGTACGCAACGTTTATGATACAACGATTTTTAAAGAAATAATTTTTTAAAATGAAAAATTCTATAATTTTTTGCCTAAAAAATATTTCTTTATAATTTTTTGATTGATGAAAACTACAAGAAATATTTTTTAAGCGAAAAATTATAGAATTTTTCATTTTAAAAAATTATTTTCTTTGTGAATTGTTGTATCATAAACGTTGCGTACTTCAGCTTCGTCTATTACTCTAAAATTAAATTATTTTAGTTTTATATTTAATAAAATTTCTTACTTTTTTTTTCTAAAACTCTAGAATGGGACGCACAAATATTTATTTATTGTTAAAAACAACTTTTTAGTTTGAGGTTATATTAATGGGCTAAGTACCCTTAATTCAACACCACAAAAATTCCAACAAGTTTAATGTGGAAAATATTCATGCGTCCCCTTTATAATAAATTTTGTGATGCGTCGCTATAAGAAAGGAATTTTTAGAAGCAAAAATTTATAGGTTATATTTTGAAATTTTAAAGTGAAAATACACAAAGAGGATTAAATTTTAATGCAAATCAATGATATTTAAGACTTTTCTTTATATAAAATAATCAATAAAAACATATTTTAATATTGTGGAAATGAAAAGAAACTTTTAATAAAGGTAAAACAGTCGTAAACATAACCTATATAATTCATTTGCTTCTAAGGTACCTTTCATCGCGACGCGTCACAAATAAAAATGCAAAATTTTCACAATATGGAAATTAACGTCCAAGAAGTTTTTTTTTTTTTTGCTAATTTGTGCTACAAAACTTTTTTTGCAAAACTTAAGAATAAGGGGTCAAAATTTGAAAAATAAAACAGTTTTACGCTCAAAATTTATGTTTAATTCTAATTCCAATCAAAAAATTGTGCAAGTAGTAATTTAACATCAATTAAATTTACAAAAAAATTATTGAAAAAATTTATTTTTCAAAAAAACAAAAATTTTAATACTCAAAAATAATATTTTTAACCCTAAAATGGATAAATATTAAAATTTTTGTGCTTTATTTTTCTCGACTAGCACAAAAATAAACTTCAACAATATTTTAGAAAAATTGTGCAAAATTCCAAAGAAATTGCAATTTTATTACTCAAAAATAGTATTTTTCACGCTAAAATGGACAAATATCAAAATTTTTGAAAATCAATTTTTGGGCTGTATCTGGTTGTTATATACTTATTTAGTACTCATTAGTCGAAAGAATACAGCACAAAAATTAATTTTCAAAAAAAAACAAAATATTTTTAATGCTAGTCGACAAAAGAAATAGCACAAAAATTGATTTTCAAAAAGTTTTGATATTTGTCCATTATAGGGTTGAAAATTTTATTTTTGAGTAATAAAATTGCAATTTCTTTGGAATTTACACAATTATTATTCTAAAATGTTTTTGGGAATTTATTTTTGTGCTCGCCGGAGAAGAATAAAGCAAAAAAATAAATTTTTGAAAAATTTTGAAATTTGTCCATTTTAGAGTTAAAAATAAATTATTTTTGAGTATTGAAATTTCGTTTTTTTTTTTTTTTTTGTTGAAAAAAAATTTTTTGTAGATTTTATTGGTTTTACATTATGTACTACTTCTACAATGTTTTAATTAGAATTAGAATTAAACATAAATTATGAGCGTAAAACTGTTTATGTATTTCAAATTTTGATCCCTATTTTTAAGTTTTTCAAAAAAAAATTTATGCATCACAAATTAGCAAAAAAAAATTGTTTTTTTTTTTTTTTTTGAAAAAATAAAATGACATTGCCAACTTCTCGGACGTTGAAAATTGACAATAATAATAAAAACAAAATATATGTATAAATGAGATGCAAAAATTTAGAATTTATCCATTTATTTATTAATAGAATTTTTACTAACCGACTTTTTTTTTTTTTTTTGTCTCTTCCCTTTTTTTTCCAATTGATTTCAGTAGACTCGCACCCGAGCCAAAATTACTGCCACAGGAAGAAGTGACGTACGCTGAGCCAGTATTGGTGCCTCAACCACCAAAATTACATTCGCCAAAGGGTACAATGCGAAAACCACCACCAACACCAGCGGAGACACTATTTCAATTTCCCGAAGGTTATGGATTTCGTGGTCCACGCGATAATTTTGGTACATTACGCTCACATCAAGGCGATGCATATAGACGTAACGATGGCTTTGCGACAACTCGTAGTGTAAAAAAAGTTTATCTCTGAGAAACGAGCGAGGAGGGAGGTGGTCGTCATCGAAGTTTAGGACGACCAACACGACAACGTCATAACGCGACAACAAGTCGATGTCGCGCCGTGACATCAGGGGGACAATCAACTGGTGAATTAGCTGGACCGAGGGCATTGGAATCACCCTCACCGCCGTCAAGTGATTCTTCCAGTTCCCCTTCGCCTCCCTCCTCGTCACCATCGCCAACCCTTGTTCCAATTGCAATGAGTGGATCATCACCTCCACCTGTACCACCTTGCAGTTTTATTTATCGTTCTTAGTCCAGGTAGGGTAGAAATTAAATATCACAAAAATAAATACATTCTCCTTGCGCGAATTTCAAAAAAAAAAAAAAAAAAAAAAAAAAAAAAAAAGAAAACATGTATAATCATCGATTTAAAACACGGAAAATTTACATACACAAACACAAACACAAATAGACTTAATTCGATAACTATAAAAATAAGTCTTGCATAAAATATTTTAAAGACTGAATTTTCTACTGTTGCCATGGGTGGTGTGTAACGTTATTATTTTTAAGATATAAAAAGAAAGTCCAATTTTTAATATGGACTTGATTCATTTTCTTGTATTAGCAATCAATTAATTGGCTATATATAGATAAATATATATATAATATAGTATTTTTTTGAAAGCTGTCAGTGAAAGCGAACATGTTAAATCTTGTTACATTTGGCAAAATGCTTTTATTATTTTTATTGCCCCTAATTATTATTATTTTTTTTACCCATTTCCTGTTTCATGATTTAGTAATATTTAGATTGCAAAAATTACTTTTTTTCAATTTAAAAAAAAAAAAAAAAAAAAAAACCCATTGCATTAGTAGAGTTCTATTATGGGAGAGGGGAAAAATTTAGTCTACTTTTGAAGTGAATTTACAATTTCTTTTTTTATATTTAAAAAATTTATCTGAATTTTTAAATCATTTTTTTCTATTCAATGGATTTAAAAATGTCTAAATAATTTACAAGTATTTTGTCCATGTTTCTTATCAGTATTATATCAGCTTTTCTTGAAATTATTAACGTTTTTAAATCTACAATATAGAAATACATTATAATATCATCGGGTTTTTTTAAAAAAAAAAAGTGGAATGTAAATTCATTTCATAAAAATCCCTTTTTCTTTTGTTGTTTGTTTATTGTAAATATTGACTTTTTTTTACATTTTTATGCATCGAGAAAAAAATTTTTGCAAATTTTTTCGCAATCTTTACTATAATATTGCCCAAACTACATACAATTAAAGGCAAAAAAAAAAAAAAGAATCCGGTTGTTATAGTGCAGTGCAAAAATGCACTTGTGATTAATCATCAGTAATAAGTTTATAACAACGTTAATAATATTTACAATATATTTAGTGTATAACAATTAATTTAATTACCAAAAAATATCGATTTTTTATTTTTCAATTTTTCTAAATGAAAATGATTTTAATTGATTTATAAGGTTTTTAAATATTCGTAAAAAAATTTATGAAATTATTTTTTATTTTTTTTTCAAATAGAAAAAAAAGAAGTCTTTTTAACGTAAAATTAGTGGTAACTAGATTGACTATATCTAGATAAATTAAAACATTTAGTAGAAAAAAAAAAATATTGAAAAAGAACTGAACTAAATTTTATAAAATACAATTGACTACCAGTCACTTTCATAATAGATAAACGTAGAAAGTATATATATATATATATATAGTAAACGTACTTAAACGGCCAACAACTCAAACGAAAATAATTCAATAACCGCACTTGAAGTGATGATAATAATAATATTGTTATATATAAATATAATAATAATTATTATTATTTTAAAATCATAATTAATAGAGTGAATTATAATTTTTCATTAAAAACATATATGTTGCGGTAAATTTTTAAACGTAAAAATTGTGGAGTAAATTTGTCCGAACATTAAAAATTAAATTCTCATTAAAATTTAATTTTACTTAATAGCTCAATTAAGTTTTCATTCAAAATTTTATATTCTACTTTTAGATTTATATTTAAATATTTTCATTTAATTGAAAGTAGATAATATTATATTTAACTTTTGTATTTTTAAATGCAAAACGAAAAAAAAAGTTACAAATTATTTAATATCAAATTTTACTAGTAAATAAGTAAAAAATATAAAAACATTGAACAAATTTACTCTGAAATTAAAAATAAGAAAAAATTTTCACAAATATTGTCAAAAATTTATTGATTGTAAAAGAATGTAAGATAAAGAATTATTACATGTAAAGAATCATTCAAGAAAAGAAAAGGGATTCAATAATTATACAAATAAATAATGTATAATCGTTATAAACGTGAAAATTGAAATTGACAACAAAAAAAAAAAGAAAATTAAATTTTGTTTTTTTTCGCGCTTTGCCAAAGATCACTATATATATATATTATAATAATAATAATTAAGAGCATTTAATAATATATATAATTCCATTCAGCAAAATAATATTATGCTCCATAATATAGAAAATTGTTTGTATTATTTTTATTTTTTTTTTGTCAAACCTGCCTTAATGAAAAAATAATTTTTAAGAAGTTATAAAAAAAAAGGTCAAATTATGTAATTATGTAAATTGTAGAAAATATTTGACACTACACGAAATTAAATCATTTCACAATATATAAAAATGCAAGTTTAGGTGTAATTATAATAAAAAAAAAAAAAATTAAAAATAAAAATATCGCATGTCTATTCTGCTGCAATTATCTTCTGAAGTAGGTGCACATGAACACTAAAAAAATAAGGGGATAAAACGCATAAATCGCAAAAATGGAATTTATTCTCGCTTTGTGTAATAAAAAAAAAATTTTCGAGAAATTTTGTATAAATGATCTTGAATAATGGGATTTTATGCTTTGTCCTCTTAAATTTTTAGCCCTCCCATGGGTTGCAAATTACCCTTGTGGACGGTTTTACTTATAAAAATAAAAGAAGAAGAAAAAAAAAAAAAAAAAAAAAAATGTTGACTGGTATATCATTCCATTTTTACGACGAATGAATACATTTTATTCGAAACTATCAAAGCGACATTAATTTGTATACATCCGCTTTAGGTTTTTAATTTTTAATGAAAAATTTTCGCATAGCTCTGCCCACTACTTTTTATTGATTTTTTTTTTTTTTTAAAAAAAAAAAAAGATAATTCATCTACTGACAATTTTTTTTTTAAACTGAAATTATTTTTCAAAATTTTATTATATTTTATTTTTGGAAAATAAAGAAAAATTTTTTATCAATATCTTTTCTGAAAATAAAAAATTTTTTTTTTCGTAAAATAAAATGAGAATATAGATATTTCTGTCAGTAATAATTTATTGTAATTTCAATCTCTTAAAATGGTTTGAACTAAATTGTAAAAATTGACATCTTGTCCTTTATTAAAAATTAGCGGAAAATTATTTGTAATTATTGTTGTTTTAAAAGATATTTTTATGTTCAAGATTTAAATTCAAATTTAATTCGTGACTTTTAAATATAGTACTTTAAATGACTTTTTCGATATTCTGCCTTCAACAATTATTTATAAATGTATGTTTAAAAAATTAACTGTCAAAGATGAACAAATCTCTTATAGATTTTGAATTAAAAAAAAAAAAAAAAAAAAAAAAAATTATATAAAATATGCCATTGTATAGCTTTTGAAAATTTCTATAAATTTTTGCGATAAAGAATATAAAATTAGAAAATGAAAATTTTTGGCTGATTAGGCTCAATCTGTAAAAAAAAAAAATAATTCACTCATCTAAACCTGTTCTTAAATATAAATGAAGCCAAGGAACAATCTCCACTTTTATTAACTCCAATAATAATTTATTAACAATTTTAATTTATTTATATCGAACAGATATAAAGAAATTATTTAAATACTTGCTTAATATTATTTAAATTGCGCATTTATTTTTAATTTATAAAAGCTGAGACTGTATAAAAAGAGTCAATTAAAATAATAAAAGAATGTGACGAATTAATAAAACTGTTATACGAAATAATTAGAAGAAAAATAATGTCCTTAGTAACACAGTTTTGAAAATTGAATCTCTTTTTTTTTAAACTTTTTGTGGAGATCGTTAACTTGCGTTATCGTAAGTTATTAATATATATATATTCAGCATTGAATTGAAAAAAAAAAATATTCAAGTGTTATTGCTGGAGGTTATATAATAGTATAACTTTAAAAAAAAAAAAAAGAAGCAACAAATCTTGTTATATCTAAAAGGTTGTTTCTTAGTTTTTGTACGTTTCAGAAACACGTGTTTTAGACACTTGAGCATATATACGTAAAATAATAATCATATGAGTGAGTCCAAAGTAAAAAAAGAGTGTTTTTTTTCCGCGTGAGAAGGGTTGAGAACACTGAATGTATAAAAAAAAAAAAAAAAAATTAAAGGAAAATAAAAGAAGAATAGAAAAAACGCTACGTAGTCTTTGGGACTTATGTACATAAAAAGAAAACCATAAACATACTGAAAGAGAGTAGTGGAGAAATGGGAAATGTTTGCTAGTTTTCCGAAAAAAAAAATCTTCCCTGATTGATGCAAAATCAAATATTTTCCAAATAAAAAAGTGAGAAAGAATTTAAAAAAAAAAAATTTTCTTGTCTCCTTTTTATTTGAAATATTTTTTTTTTCCTTAATTGAAGATTTACATGTATATGTATATGTTTATATATAAATAAATATATATATAAATGAAATTGCATACACATGTAATTTAAGAAAAAAACATACTGCAATTAAAAAGCTATACGAATGATTAAAAAAAATAAATAAAAACGAAATTAGTCCATCTATTCTGGGCCCGATGATGCATGTAGACATCTATCTTAAAGTGCTTCTTATTTCAGTGTGTTTAGAAGTAACGCGTATGTGATATATTCTATATAACAAAATGTTTTAGGCAGTGGCTGGTAGAGAGTAAAAGTTGACGATGGTTTTTTTTTTTAACTTTAAGCGCGTTCTTTCTCTATAATAATAAAATAATGCAAAATCATTATATATTAAAAAAAAAATAAGCATGATCGTACAAAAACGTAAAATTTTTATTTTTATTTTTTTTCTACAATTATAATATTCAACGACTAATTGACAATCTTTTTTGCTGACATGGTTTTATTTTTTTATTTTCCTTTTTTTTTATATAACAAACTCGAACATTTTGACTGATATTTTTATATTTCGTGCGTATTTTATTTTTATCTTCTTACCATTTCTTTTCATTTTTTTAATTGAAAAAACTTTTTTTTTTAATTAAAGAAAATTTATTGTTTTTTTAATTTTTTTTTTTTTTTAATTGAGAAACATTTTTTTTAATTAAAGAAAATTGATTGTTACTTGAAAGCTAGACATTT